TTTTTTCAAACTTTCGCATGGCATCCTTCCCTACAAAGAACTCTGTGCATATGTTTGACCTTAACCTCTGTGGAGTATCCTCCTAGCCCTCATAACTTTAACTCCTTGATTTCAGCGTGTGCAAGATATGAGTTTAAGCAGCTCAAGGACGCTTTGAGACATTCTGGTCTATCATCTGTACAGTGGTGTGGGGGTCTTCTGCACATATCAACAGCAGCAAGAAAACAGCTGGACTGTTGTTATAATTGTTTTGTGGAAGATATGAAGGGGAAGAGCAGAAAGAAGAATATCTTAGAAAATACTTCAGCATAAAGTAAGGGTGTGAAGTGGGAAGCTAGAGAAGCAGTCATTAGACAACCTAGACTTTAAAATCTACTGTATGTTGTTTGTGACCACTATAAGTTACTCAGAAAAAAACTCCTTGCTCAGCCTAACACTCTGAATACCTTTACTCGCAGTTCTACAGCTTGTTCACTAGCTTCTCTGTTTCAGCTTGTATTTTTTATTTTTTATTAGAAAATTCTTCCTCTATAAATTGAATATTAGCAAGCTACTCTTAGGCATGCTTCTTACCCGGAGGAGGTTTCTCAGAGTTACACTGTGGTCCCTTTTATTTACTCCTAACTTACAATTGCTTTTATCAGCCATTAATAGATAAATATTTTACTATCTGGTTTTCTTCACCTACTGAATTCTTGTCTATATAGAATGGTCTTGCAGCTGCAGAGTCCCCTTCCTCCCCTTCACTCTGTAACCTAACCCACCCTTGCTCTAGAGATTATAGTACGTATTACAATATCCCATTGAATTTGACGCTCCCTCACTCTTCAGGAATATCTATTGTGTCAGATTCTCTTTCCACAGTCATACACTCTGCTTTCACCTGTAATTATTTTTAAGCTTGTGGTATGCAGACATGGATATTTTTTATTTTTAATTTTAATATTTTTATTTGTTATATTTATTTTAGTAGGCCATCTACCTATTTTTAAACAACTCCTCTGCCTAGCTCCCTACTTCAGAATAGACCACTGTGATTTCAGTTTAATTATCCTCAAGGTCATCCATTATCTTTGTTCCCATGTTTTATAACTGGATACACAGTTAACATACTGATGGGAGAAAAAGCAGGTATGTGGAAATGCAGACACACTCTTTTACCCAAAGACTTGACTACCCCCATCCTACCCAGTGCAGACCCTGCCTGATCCTGCATGGTGTGATGAGGTCAGAGCTGTGTGGCTGCGAACTCCTTTCCATAATTAGATCAGGGCTGCATTTTCCCTTGAAAATGCTCCCTTTTTATCATCAAGACATTTCAAAGCCCAATTCTATTTTTTTTCTTTTTTTTTTTGTTTTCTTTTTTTAAAGCAGTGGGACAGCTGATTTTTTTCTAGCAGTTTTTTTCCTGTCAGGAGAATGATAATGAAAAACAATTTCTACTTAGAATTTTTTTCAGCTATTCCATTACTGAACCTTCCATTGGTTCACTGGAAACTGTGAGAGGGGGTTTGATTCTTCTCTGTGGAAAGAACATGGAAAACCTTATTAGGCTTTTTGTAGCAAAAGAACAATTTTTCTTTTATTGAGGATTTTGCTTCTATTTTGTATAACATTTCTTTGAAAATACGTGTCCCAGTCTCCTTTTAAATTTCTTTATTCTGCTCTGCTACTGAAAAGGCTGCAGATGGAAGGGGAGAACAAGGAACTCCCCATGTCAATCAGCTCTATTCATTCAATGGCTGTATTTCTTAGTTTGATTAAAAACATATTGAGCAGCCCTGGTTCCTCAGTTCTGCACGCCTACACAATCCCGACTGCCTTGCCATCCCCCTGTCAGTAAATGCTTTATCCTGAGGCCTTACTCAGATTGAGATTCCACATTAAACATGAATCCAAGAGGATATCACATGTTTTTAGGTCTTGGAATCTCTTAGATTCCACACAGCTTACGAGTGCTGAGGGGGTTGGTGATGGTTAGATGAGGAGAAAAAAGTGCTTGAAGTGGACTGATAATTACACTTTTTTTTTAAAAGAGAAATGGAAAGAAAAAGTTTGTGTAAAGCTTGGAAAATATCTCCATTGTTACTGCCATCACTGGCATGAATGTACATGTAACATCTGACCAGCATATTAGTCATAAACTCTGGTTTTGTAGGAAATACAGCACACTGAGCTGCCATCATACAAAGGAGCAGTTCTTGGAGAGGACTGTTAATTTACTACATTTTTAATACTGAGGCATGTACTGGTCCCCTTCAGAAAATGTTCTGTTCTCTATATACCTCCTGTTCTTATTAAAATCAGAACTATGTGGAAGAGCAGAACCATGGAGTCTGCTCCTTATGGGGCCAAAAGAATGGCTGCTAACAGAAGTGTTGCAACTAGATTGGCTGTCTTTTAGCACTTTTGTTGGTGTCTTTTTAAAAAAAATCTATTTTATTTTATGACAAAATTTAAAAAGTTTGGTATTAATAAAAAAACTCCATACTCCATACAGAATTAAAGTTGCAGTTTAAACTGTACTCAAGTTGAAAAGCTGCCTAGCAGTTTTAATGGTCTTTAGCTCAGACACCAGACTAGGGTCAACTTCTCAGAAAAATAATTTCTTCCTGTATTCAGCCCTGAAGAGTGGTCCATAAAAATCTATCTGCTCAGACACGTTGGAACTTAACATCTTCCCCTCTTTGGAAATGATCGCTCTTTCCAAAAACATCAGATTGAATAACTGCTACCTAAATACCCTAATTTCTCTTTGCCTTTCCCATATATTATACAGATCATGAACTTTAAGAACTGCGCCCTACAATTCTTCAAGAAAGGAAGAGACTGGATTATCCCCTTAAGCACTTCCAAGGATATATCGTGTACAACCTATTCCATACATATCTTCCTTTTTTTCTTAAGTAGCTTGTGGTGTACTAGCACATACTGTATTACAGAACCATGCTACTTTTTTGTCTTTTATGGCAATAGACTTTGAGGGATACAGCAAAAAAAAAAGTCTGCTTTCTATCAAACAAAAAATGTTCTTAATATTACTCTTCCCTGCCTTCAAAATGTTTGATCTTTGCAGTCACCCTTGACAGAGAATTCTTAGCACTGCTTCCTTTCCAGATGAGAGAGCAGAGGTGCACTGGCATCACAAAATACATACCGGAATCACACTGCATACATCAGCATGGCCTCAACCAAGACTGAAATACATATGCACCTTAAATTTACATGTCTTTGTGTGAAAAGAAATAAGTCCTACTGAGACAGAGAGTTCATCCAGTTCACAAGCACATGCTTGGTCCTTTCCAGATTACACACAGCCACTGTGTGATGCATCACACAAATCCAACAAAGAATACAATGGAGAGGACAATGCCGTAGTTTCAGCTACCGTATTTGTAACTCACCTACATGGTGCTGCCACTGAAGCTATCACTTTGGCAGGCTGGCAGCCAACTAAGGAGAAGCTGGTGTTCAACAGGATATAACTTGATTGAAGATTATATAAATCAAGAATGACATGGTGTTATAAACAGATTAGCAGACAGGTGAGACCAAGGAAATCAGTCTGGGGCCTCTGTGTCTTTGGAATCTGATAATTTCATTAATGCAGGTACCCCTGTCTGGTAGTAGAATGCTATCATCCTTGATTTAGGAAGTTGTAGGGAGGCTAAAGACTCCCAGTATCAATAAAGATATTTAGGTATTGAATTCTACTGTGAGTTTGGGCCAAAGTGACAGGTTTACAGTGTCGCAGGAGTATCTGGCTTGGCAGACAAGATTTATTAACACCATACTAGTATTACACTCAGAAGAGCTTTGTTCCTCTCCTCTCTCACATTGCTTAAGTATAGGGGTGGAGGTAGGAGAACATTCTTAAGGATTGTGTTATGGTACCACCAGAAATGTAGGGAGGGAACATAAGAACTTGCATCTCTAAATACATGTGTGTATACACACATATAAATATACATGCATGAGTGTGTGTCCACACATAAAGCAGTAATGATGGTGATGGGGATTACCTGTTCACTCTGACAGTTGCCAACACACAAAATAGATATTTGTCTGATTCTTAATAGGTGTGTAATCACCCCCACAGCTGGAGATGCTCAACACAGCTAAGAGCAGCTAGAATGCCTTAAAGTGGTGTAGAAACTGTTTTAGTTCTCTGTTTCAAACAGTTCTTCTTGGTCAGTTGTGAGGCACATGGCATGTGAAGGAAGAATCATAAACATCCTTGATTTATCTAGTATTTTCACCAGCCATAATTTTTCACCAAACAAAGCAAAACAAAAAATATCATGAGCATAAAGTGATTTTGGCATCAGACTCTTCTTGTTTTCAGTCCCATCACACTGTAAGACAACTGGCACCATAATCAAACAAATAAAAACCATAGCACTGTTGGAGGGTCACATTCTTCTGCTGGAACTGTGGATTTTTCTGAAACTATTTACAAATTCTTTTAAGAAAAATCAACACATGGAGTAATGAAATTACTCTCTACCTTACTGAGAAAAATTAGCTGATGCACTTATAACAAAGGGTACTGTAACCAGTGGCTACAGTTACATGGATTTGGTTTTGATCAAGGAGAGATGTTGTTCCTGATTTGGTGTCAAAGTCAACTCAAGTCCCCTGCAGACTAGCTTGTAAATTCCTGGATTTAGCACAGAATCCAGTTATAACAAATGATAGTTCAAACCGTCCTCCTTGAGCCTGGCTATTGTCCGTAAAACCTCTCTCCCCACTGCTTATTCCTAATGTTTGAACTTCTGTTAAGTGGACCATCTCTACTCCCCCCATGGAAAGAGGAAACCAGCACTAGCCTTTCACAGCAGAATCGCCCAGACAAAATGTCTACACAGATATTAACACCTTGCTGTGTTTCTGCTAGAGCCACGGAGCAAGTGAATTCCATGGGCATGCTACACTTGTGCTATTTATATTTACCTAAAATGTGTGCGGTGGTATAGGAACAATCTGGCATTTCTACTTACTGGTACAGTTCCTCACCATACAGCTTCTCATAACATCTTGCTCTATTTAAAATCAAACTTGACTTGAGATTTTCTTTGCATGTTTTGTCTTCAATGTCCTCTTCCTCCCTTTCTCTTCTGCAAATAAATTGAGAAGGCATTTAAATCTGAGCATGCATTTCTCTATTAAATTGAGACAAACATACATGCAATATCCTCAGTGATGTTGACTATGTTCAAGTAGCTTTCAAGTAAATCCTTCCTGATGTTGAAATGGGGTGTTTCTGAAAAGTGAAGGATAAGTGGCCAAAATCCTTTTAACACTGTGACTCACTGACAGTGATTTCTGATTAATTAGAGGCACATTCTCCCCTTGATATGTATACAATGTAATTTCCACTAACATCAAAGAGAAAACTGCCCTCCTTAAGTTTGCCAGGCAGCAGATACCCAGGGGCTGGTCTTTTCGGCTGAACAAAACTACTCAGCCTGTGGATGTTTTTTTCACCTGTCCACTGTAGCTGGTCAGATTCCTTCTGGAGCGTGCACTTACCTCTCACTGCCAGTAACACTGAGTGCAGGCAGCAGCAGGAGAAGGAGGAGGCCTGCCCAGCCTGGCAGCCATCCTAGCTCCTACTGGCAGAGCCGACATCTGGAAGCTTCTGCACCATGTGGACAACTGTGGCACCAAGCCAAAGTGGCCCAGCTGTCAGGGGCCGTGTTCAGAAAGTAGCACAGCTACCTTCTCACAGCACAGATATTTTTGGTCAACACCTGATCACAGTGACACAGCTCCCGTGAGCCTGTGGTGCTCCCCTCGCAGACAGCTGTGGTCATCGGGAGAGGCCAAGAGCAGCTGCTGGAGGGAATGGCACTGTGTGGGAGTGCTGGTGGTGCTTGTACAGACATGGAAACACACCTGGGGCCTCCTGAGGCTGCCTGGCTCAGCTCAATTTATGTCTCACACCAGTGAAACCTCTTACCCTTCCCCACACAATCTCCCAAAACATGTCTGTGCCTTTGGGCACCTGCCAACTGTGAGCCCTACACAGGCAGCACTGCAGGGGGTGTCCGATGGGGCCAATTTAGCAATATGGACAACTGGACCATGGACCTTGGTTGAGTTTACTAATGAAAATATGATCTGTGGATGCCTAGGTGGCTGGTTTAGTCCACACTGTGGCTTGGGGGAGCAGGCACCCAGCACCAGGAATGCTGAGAGAAAAGAAGACAAGGGGTTAATAGCAATGCCCACCATGAAGAACCGTGGCAATTTATAATTCTTTGTTTATCAGCACTGTGAAAACAAAAACCCTCATGGCTCTGCAGAAAGCCAGGACAGCTTTGCCATGGGGGGACCCCAAAACAATGAGGTATGGGGTGGGGGAAGAAGGGTGACAGAATCACTGTACAGGGAGAGGGTAACATGACTTCCACGTACCAGGAAAAGGACCCATCCGATGGGAAGAGAACATGCCATCCTCAGCTTCCCTTCAACCTTAATTCTCCTGCTGCTGCTGGCACCATTTCCAAGCACGCAAGCACTGCTCAAGCACTGAATAGGGCTGGTGCTTGCAGTCGATGCCAAAAGGTGCCTGAAGGGACAGGCCGGCTCCTGCTGGGAGACATGAGGGGAGACAGGCGCCATTTTGAGGGGCCCCGTGCCTCTCCCCAGGGCCTCGGCCGTGTGGCGCCAGAGGGGCCCCTGCCGTGGTCCCTGCTCTTCACAGGGCAGGGAGCACATCCTGCTCCCTCTCATCCCAGCCCTGTCACCTTACTGGGCCTGTGCTGTGCACCAGCACAGCACTTAAGGTGTGACTTAGAAAGCAGGTCTCTGTGTAGGGGAGCAGCAGGTGTCCCTTGAGTGTCACACCACTGCCTCATCAGCATGTGGTCGAACTGCCTGACGCACTTTATCTCCCTCTAACTCATCCTACGCAATGAAGAAAATTTATCAATTAATGGATAATAATTATAGATTTGAATAGCCATAGAATCATTAAATACCAACGAATCAGTTAAATGTAAAGGGGTGATCATGTTCTTGGGATAAGAAGGGAAACTGCCATCTGGCAGGATAAAAATATGGAAAAGGGGGAGATGAGGAGTGGGCTGAGAGAATTTGGGGAAATGCTTGCAAGCATCAGAAGACAAAAGTGGAATGGAAACAGTTAAGGTTTATTAATCATTACTTGGGATTTCAGGGTAGTTTGAGGTGATGCCTTGGTGCTCCTCATGTGACTTTACATGGAGACAAAGATCTGTAGCTCAGTCCCTCATTCTGTGCCAAAATTCATGAACCTCATGAACTGGCAACTCTCACTGTTCCCCAGAGCATTAGGTGTTACTCTTTGATTATGAGGGCTGTGCCCTCTTTCTTATTCCAAATTATCATCTTTGTAGCAGTTCTTTCTGCACCATCAGCTAGCTGCAGTATTTCAGGGTCACAGGAAAGAGATGGAAAGAAACTTCTATTTCAGGGACCAAAATATTTATGTCAGAAGGCCAAGGCCAATAGCTGAATTTTAGGTACTTATGTTTATTTTGCAGCTTTCTGTCAAAAGGGTAAGAAGCTTTTGTTGAAGGGCAGTAAAGTTCCCATTTCTCAAAAGATCCTTCCTGAATATTCCAAAATGGTTTTAAATGGTATCATTTGACCATACTTTTCTTTACTCATGGGATTAGTACTGGTCCTAATCTTGATGACACCAGCTAGACTGAATCCTGGAGGGGACACTGCCTTCTGACTAACTCAGTAAATTAGAAACACTAGATAGGAGCCTCAAACTAGGAGGCAAATATTTGCCTGGAATGGGATTCTGCTTTCTAGATCCCACACTCCGTATTATTTGGGGATTTCAAGTTGAATTTGAAGTACACCTATCCTTTTCCACTTGTTTGCACTCCCAAAAAATTCAGCAGAAATTCAGCAAATAGAGGTAAATTTGACTGAGTTTGGAAGAGTCTCCAAAATCCTGAAGAATTTTAAACTCCTGACTAACTAGCTACAGCACATCTTTGTTTTGTTCAGTTTTATTGCCTCTCCATCAGCGAACATTAAACTGGCAAAACAGAAGCAGACAATGAATCTGGAACTGCGTAGGGGTACATAACGACAGGTCTCTGTAAATAGGCTATTATGGTTTCAGACAAAAGATCTCCAGAAAGCTGCAGTCCATGGACAAGCCACAGACACAGAAGGCCCCTAAATGCAATCATTTCAATAACCCTCATTATCTCTCAGCACCACAGAGGTACACGATGAGGTACACGAGCTTTCAGGCAAGAGATATGGCTTGTTACTGGCCCTTTGGAAAGACTTCCAGCCAGATGACCAGAAATTGTTCATGAAAAACTGTTTATTTCATATCAAAACTGACTGACTTCTTAAAAAAATAATTAAACCTGGAAGTATTACAAATATTTGTAAAAAAAAGTAGTAAAATAACATAATTCTGGTGGCCAACCTTTGCTTTCATTCACTTTTAATGCTGTTCTCATTATTTACCCTTTTATTAGAAATAGGTGAGTAAAGCCAGGAAGAGAATCCTATCCTTTGTCTGTCTGACAAAAACAGTCCTAGCAGGTTTCCCAACAGGGCAAGTGAGACATGTTGTCCCAGAAATAAAACCTAGCCAGCTGGCATCAGATAGAATAGTTCTGCTGCAATGCCCACTGAAGTTGCTGCAGTGAGCACAAGGCAGCAAAAACCTAAAGGGATACTGGCCTGACTTGAAAAAGTAATTTCATTTTATGCCATGACACTGCAAAGTAATTGTGCTCAAAATAACTGTTTTTACTGCCTAAATACATTTTTAGTACTTGAGTATCCAGGTGGATTCAATTGTGTTGCAATTTTGCAGACATTAAAGAGGGAGACTAAATGACTGAGGCAGGGGAAAGAGAACAACGCTGCACTCTGGTGAGACCCAGACTAGAGCATAGCACTAGCCTTCAGGAGCCTTAAAGTCTAGTCCTGTTTTGACCACTGACTGACCAATGTTTAAAGCTGAGCATGGAAAATGAAATGCAAGTGTTCTCTGTATCTGTTACAAAAATAATACTGGCTGAAAGCTTCAACGAGTGTAAATTGTCAAATAAGAGAAATCACTGACTCCAAAAGAAGCAGGATTACAACCAAATCCGGTCAGCTTTAAGAATAAGAACTTCCTTCTTGGGCATCTTTTGCAAAAGCAACATGTGACACGGCACGAAAACAAGCAACACTTGAACTGTTATAAAACACAGTAAAATAAATTTTTTAAATCCAAAAATGTGATTCTGATAAGCGAAAGCATGCTAAGAAGTTACACTTTTTATGTCAGTAACAGTTTATAGAACCATAACCTTAACTGATACTCAAAAGTCATTTCACTCTTCACAGAAGTTTTCACAAAGAAATAATATACAAGGCACACTAAACACTGTCAGGCCAAACACATTCTACTGTTTATTACACATATTACATTCTTAAATAAAAATGCGTCACATAACATTTTTGCATAGATATCTTACAATATACCAATTTAAAAAAGAATTATGAAACAGACCAGTAACAAAAATAAATTTTTTCTTCATTAATAATTTTGTAACATTAACATACCACCATCATATAATACAAATAATATTTTTAAATCTTAAGACTTTTTGTACAGCAAAAAAACTGACAAAGTAATATATATATATATATATATATATAAAAAGCTTAAAAAAAATAAAATGTCAAAAAAAGGCAGAACTGAGGGCTACAAGATTGGGTACTTCTGTGATATATTAGAAATACCAGAGTAGGCCTGAGAGAACGTGACCGAGGGCATCTCCAAAATGCACTTGTCAGACACATCTGGTAAAAGAAAAATTATAGTGCAAAATGAAAGTCCTTCAAGCAATATTGTTTGTTTTTTTGTTTTTGTTTTTTTTTCTTTTTTTTTAATAGGGAGCATTCATACTTTTTTTTTTGTTGTTGTTGCTAAAAAAAATCCCCCAAACAAAAATCTAATGTGTAGTAGAGAGCAAGAAAAGTTTCAAAGAACAAGAAGGAAAACAGGCCACTTTGCAAAGCAAGAAAAAAAATCTCAGCCTGCATTATTATTTTTTTCAACTAGATGTGCAGACATGCCAAACTGAGGCCTTGTTTCTAAGAGAAAAGCTGTCATAGTCTATATGCAGTGATTTCAAAATCAGGTACTTAAATTGGTGCAAGAACCTTCCTGTAGAGGTATGTTAATTAGTTGAAGCATTTCTTACACTTCAGCTTAACTGCATAGGATGCCAATGCAAATTCAATCCAGGCAATCAAGTAATAGGTGCAGCTACAAAGTGATTTTAACTAGACTGATATTTTAACATAGGGCAGCTTCCCTGGTAGAGACACGGCCTTGGTAACAAAGTAGTGTTTAAACCAGTGTTTTGATCTACTTCTGGAATCTGACAGGTCTGGGGTTTAAAATAGAGTGATGGGTAAAATGTATGTTGCAAAATATAAAGACCAGCCCTTTAGCCAACAGGCCTTCCAGGGACTGCAGGTTAGTTTTTCCTTTCCCCGAGAGCCCAACAATAAAGGCTAAAATTGCCATGTTTCTTTCCATTCTAGTTCCCTTTTAGTGTGTACATGCTAAGCCCTCATCCCCCTCCCTTCCCACCTCCCCTCCCAGTCCCCAAATTTGCAGCCTACTCATTCACAGTACACAGCAACATGTATTTCCCAGCACTGCTGAAAACTTTCCTACAGAAGCTGACATGATTCCTAAAATGCAGTGGCAACAGCAAGTGCCCTCCCTAAATCAAAGCAATAGGCACGGTTGGCTACTACAAACTGTAAGTCAGTAGCTCAGTTTCCTCTTCCATGTAGGTATATACAGTATAATGTTGTACATCCACACCCACACAGAGACAGGGTGGAGAACCTGTTTTCTGGCAGTATACAGAAGTTAGGACCAAAGCACTTAAAAAAATCATCAAAGCTTCCATTTTTAAAATCGCAGAATTCCAACTTCAATTATTACACCAAAAAATGCCATCAACAAGCATTAAGGAAAACTATAAAACCCTGTTTGAAAAATGACGCCTGCATTTGAAAGTTATCAGGTAGGGAAACTCATTTTTGAGGTGATAAAGGCAGTCTACTCCTGATCTCCACATTTTTATGTATATAATTTATATATACAACCATATCATTATATACGTAACTTATATAGCACAAGTAGCCTTAGATTTCTTCCTCTAAGGGAGGACGAAATTCTCAGCTTTATGAAACAGATCTTAGTACCTGGTAGGTCAGATCCAACAATCCTTACAATGCTAAATCTTGCCATTGAAGCCCATGCACGCTGTGGAGGAGAAACACTGCAGTAGTCATCCCTAAACTATTAATAAAAAGAGACACAGATGTGACAAAAGGAAGAACATCCAAGTTTGATCTGGAAATGATCATTCACGAAGGTGTAGTTTTAATGCTCATGAAAGACTTTTCACTGAATAGTTGTAGTATCTTGAGAGAAAATTATTTCCATTTTTCATGACAGAGTTAAATAGAGTTATAGTCAAGCATTGTTTTTGTTCTTGGTATGTAGGGATCTTTACAAGTGCAATTCTATCTGAAATCAGCAAAATGTAATTTAAGAGTTTTAGGTTAGAGCATCACCCAAGATATGAAAGCTTAAAAACAGTCTTACTGGATGGAATGACAGAATGTGCCAAGTTCTGAATGAAATCAAGAATAAAAGCCCTTGATCCACCGGGTGCTGGCCTAGTAACATTGAATTATTTACAAAATTTTCCTCTTTTTTATTTTTTAAATTTAAAGATTTTGACATACATTAAGGGAAGAGGCAGAGAAAGGGAAACACTTGAAAAAGTTGGATTTCACCAGTTTTGTCAAAAGTACCAATCATGACCTTTTCGTACACAGAAAAATAAAGTATGTTAAATGTTTATGTTAGAGACAGTTAAAAAAACCCAGTTGTCTAGGGTCAGATAAAAATGAGGGAGAAAGCCTGGTTCTGTAGATATCAGAAAGGTCACAGCTAAGATATACTCAATCACTGCAACAATCATATTGATCAACTCCATTTTAGTTACACACCCTAGTGATTAGTTATATTTTTATGCCTGAAGTTAAAACAGTTCAAAAGCAAGGACCTGGGAGCTCCTCTTGCATTCAGGTCCTCCTTCCGCATTGGTGTTTGGTCAGTTCTCGCCATGTATTAAGTGAAAATGTGCTAGCCTAAAAAACAAGTAAACCCAATTCCAAAATGTCTGAGGAAAATAAGAATAAATAAAAAACCAAACCCAATGTTCACCTTTGTAGAAATATGTTGGCTTAAATTTCAGGTCCTGGAAACCATTTTTGAGATATCACATGGGTCCTCCAGGCTAGCAAACTTGTTTCTGTATTATCTGGCTGGTCCCTGCAGCTGTGATGCATCTCAAAGTATGATATTCCTTCAAACTGGTTTGCTAAAGGTTTGAGTTTTTTGAAGATTCCCTCCTCTCTAAGTCTCCCTCATGAAGAAACCTTACAAAGTTTAATAAGGGTGAAACTATCAGAATTCGAGAGAAAACCTACAGACCTGCACTACAGTCTGTTCCATCAGCACAAGACTGGGAACAACTAGAACCAGCACACATTTCATCAGAGAGAGCTCTGAAATGAATCACAGAAACACAGAAAAAGTAATATTATAAGGTACTTCTGGAGGTCACCTAATTTAACCCTCTGTTTAAAGAAAGATTAGTTAGATCAGACTGCTCAGGGCCTTGTGCAAGATATTGAAAGAATCTAGAATTTCAGTTTGTCCTTTCTCTTCTTTATTTGCCAGTTTGGCCAGGTAATATAATTGTCTAGCCTGAGTAGCTACTGAAAAAGAACAGCTCTGGGATAATGAAGAATACTCTGGACTCTGGAATCTCCTCGGCTGTCAGACCAGTCTTTATAAAATGCATGTGATATTTTATGTTGCTCTTTATCTCCTAAGGGGAAAACCAAACATAGCGAAGATGCACCAAAGTGTTGTTTCAATCTAAAAAACTACTAAAATACAGCATCATGTGGCTTCATATTTGATACAGTATGAACGAAACAATAAATTTTTCAGTTCAAGGTAAACCAGCAACGATCACGTTGAAAAAACAGAATTTTGCTTGCCAGGCCTCAAGCTGGAAGTATAGAAAGCATATTTCTATAAGCATATTTTTATGCAGAGATTCAGCAAATCTGATTATAAAACTATTTATACTGTGGCTTCCTAAATGATTTTTTCATTAGTCAGTTTTCAAAATAGAATCTTGTCTTAAAATATAGGTTGTCTCAGTTAGATAATGGAAAAATCCAGAATAAATAAATTATATCACCACTGAAACATATGAAGATCTGGAATATTCTGTCTGGTTTTAGTGTCCCAATTACAAGAAAATGACTGACATATTGGAGCAAGTCTAGCAGAGAGCCACCATGGAGATCAGGTTCTGGAACATTTCATGGATAAAGAGGGGCTGAGAGATATGGTTCAGCCTTAGGAAGAGAAGAGTAAGGGCAGATCTTATTGCTATCTCCAAATACCTAACCAAGATTGTAGAGAAGATGCCAGACTTTTCTTGGAGGTGCACAGTGGAAAGGGCAATGAAAACATGTTGGAATGTGGAAAATTCCTACTTGACACATGGATTTTTGAATTTATTTTTTTTTAACCATAAAAGTGGTTAAATATTGGACCAGCTTGCACAGAGCGGTCACAGAATTTCCATTCTTGGGGATTGTTAACACTCAGCTGGATATGGCCCTGAGCAACCAGCTTTAGTTGGAGGTTGGCCAAGATGGCCTCTGGAGGACCCTTCTCATCTGCATGATTCTATGATTGACTGCTCTGCTCCAAAATGTTATTTAGGTAATCACAAAAACTCACATTTGTTTTAGTTGCTTCTTCTGTGTCCACTATCTTGTGAGACTTTTTTCTCCATTTGTTCTCACCCTATAGTTCCATGGCCTTGGAAACCACAGTCTGACTTTCTTACAATGGCTTCTCTTTTGCAAGCAGACGTAAATCTAGCATTGAAGGAAACAAGGTTAAGCTTCTCCTTTCTAAAGCTGGATAACTCAGTCTTCAACTGTCACCAAATCATCTATTTATGGGTTTGCTTCCAAGAAGCCTTACACAGATCCTTTCCTCTACAGCCTGATTCTACTCACAGTTTACAAAGAGAGGACAATTGTACAACTTTAGCAAGAAGACACGGGCCCAAAAGGGAACCAGCTGTAACAGACTACACAAGTTTGATGTGCACAGCTTAAAATATCTGCAAAGAAACAAAACTTATCATTGTAAAAAAAAGAAACCTGGAATGTGTCACACTGATTATGCCTTTCCAAAATGGAGACTCCTTCTAAAAAATGCCAGTTATTGTTCAAAATTTTAGTAATGACTAAGACACTTGCATATGAGCACCCAAAACCCCAATCAACAGATTGACTGAGTACACCATATATACAGGTGAAAAATATCTTCCTTTACAAACATAAGAGATGGTTCCAAAGCTCAAATTTTGGCTTTAGAGCTCAAGACCTGCTACAGAGAGAGCCTGAGAAATTTGAAATCTGCTTAGGTCTCTTATCCCCCTTTTTCCATGTTTTTTAGGTTATTTGGATCTGTGATGTAGATATAGGCCTGCCTTTACAACAAATTTCAGCTTTTTTTTTACCATGGGGCTCTTGTTCTGCCATATCTAAATAAGATGCCAACAAGACCATAAATGACAACTGGAAGTAAATAAACAGTCTTGATTGGCTTTTCCCAATTTAAATAGTGTGGTGCTTCAACTGTCACTTAAAAATTAAGGTTTGTAGACTACCAATAGTGTGTCTAAAGCCAGGTGTGTCCACAGGCCAAAGGAGGACATTTATGCAGGTTCACAGCCAATGAATATCATAGTGGTGGGTTTGAGAGCATACACTTTGGGACACTACAGTAATGAAATTCTAGGATTCTCTTACCCTTTTTTCAATTTAACGCATTGACTGGATGCTCTAGTTTCACAGACCTGAGGTTTCAGTTCCCATCAGACATCCTCCTGAGGGACAGCAGGGGGGCAGCACCAATCTCTGCTCTCTGGTGACCTGTGACAGGATCCGAGGGAATGGCATGGAGCTGTGTCAGGGGAGGTTTACGCTAGATATTAGGAAAAGGTTCTTCCCCCAGAGGGTGGTTGGGCACTGGAACAGGCTCCCTAGGGAAGTGGTCACAGCCCCAAGCCTGCCAGAGTTCAAGGAGCATTTGGACAACACTCTCAGGCACATGGTGGGATTCTTGGGGTGTCCTGTGCAGGGCCAGGAGCTGGACTTGACGATCCCTGTGGGTCCCTTCCAACTCGGGATTTTTTGTGAGTCTGTGATCTGGCAGATCTGTATGTTCCATCACAAATTCGATCCTAGGGCCCTCAGTCCCAGTGGAACAGCTGAGTGAAACAGCCATAAAAAGTATGCAAATACAGAAGTAGAGAAATACGAGATTGTCAGCAAGCAGTGCTCTGCAATTTTTAAATGTATACATATATATATGTAAGCATATATATATACACATATAGAGTATAGTTAGTTTTAAATCTTTGGAATAAACTCAATTTTTGTTCTCTCTCTCTTTCTTTCTGACTTTCTTTTCTTTCACTCTCTCTCTCAAGCTCTTATCATGAATATTACATCATTGTCCCTAAAAGATGGTTACATTTTGGTCCATATTTCATGCCATATGGGCCAGACATCGTATTTCCCCCCTGTCCCCAAAGTGTTCAGTTGACAGTCACAGTGTTTTGTGAAAACTGTGAGGAAAACCAGCATCTTTCGAGTAAACTCAATCTCTCACTGGAACCAGAGGTTGCAAAATGCTGAGAATTCAAGTGCCAAGGATCCTGGTGACAGCTCTTAAACATCTATTCAGTTTCTTGTTTGCTCTTTTTTCCCTTTAGAGTATAGTTTTACCTCCCAAACATAAATTAAGGGAAATATATAACAGTCAATGAGTCAAAACAGTCAAAGGGCAGTTGGCTAATACAGTATAAAAGAGCAGCAACCATTTGTGGACCACGTGCTATTCTGATTCATTTCTAGACACCTTGTAGGGATGGTCCCAGAATATACAAAATATACAACTTAATGACCACCTGCCTGCTTGCATAGGCCGTTTTTATGGTCCTAAATGCAGTCTTTGGAGTCAGGGCCAGTGTCAAATAGTTTCAAATACAATTTATGGCAATACATTTTTTGTGGGTTTTTTTCCTTTTGTAATGAAGACTTTAATCCACTTTGAGCCAACGAAATCAAATTATCAATAGGACGGAAGGGTGAGCATGAGACCTCCACTTCTCCTTGATGGTTCACACAGTAGGCCAAAATGGACCTCTAGGTTAGTAATACTTTAGACCAATCATTTGGAAAAGGCTCACTGCTGTATGTAAAATCCCTTCCTTCCTTCACCGTTCACATGGTTACACTTTTTCATATAGGAGTGGCCTACAGTATCAACTTGATGAATGGAGAAGGAGGACTTTGATAATTTCTTTAAAAGGCTAATGATGAATGAAGCCATTGTACTTGGAAGAGGTTCTCGATTTCCCAGTCAAAGACTGGAGCAGGAGTTTTGGCTTGGGGTTTTTTTGTGTGTATAAGATGCTCAACAAACATTAGCTTTAAATTAAAACATTCTGCAGGTGCTCTTTACACAAACAAAAGTCTAATGTTTTAAATTGGTTAGTAGAACAGCAAGAAAAAGCAACATAATTCACCACTAAATCACCGTGGGCTGTGGCTAACATCCTCATATGATGTGGAAGGAATCCCGTAGTCATGCCTGTGTGGCCAGTCCCAGACTGATATCCAGGTGAAGACAAGGAGTTCTGAAGATCACTTGTTTGTGGAGAAAAGAGAAAAAATGTTTAAGCTTCCAAACAAGTTTTAAAGTTTTTTGTTCAAAAAATAAACAAGAAGTCCTAGCTATGGCAATAAGGTGAGGCTTACAGAGATATTAGGTGCTGTTTTTTTAGGGGTTTATCCCTTGGCTACTTAGCCATCATGGCAGCAGCTTCCAGAGTCCCTAGTGCATATGTTGTGCAATAGCCAAAACAAAAATTAAAATAAAAACAACCAACAAAAATATAATCCTCCATGAAGTCTACATAAACTCAGGCCAAGAAGAGGATATTTGTGTCACAAGTGTCACTCCACAGTCTACTGCCATTAAGGCCACTGGTATTGACTTAAAAGGATCTCAATAGCTCAGTTCTAGGAAGAAGAACCAAAACCAAGACAGATCAAAGTGTCTGTGAGAAGTCTGATGCACTGAACATTAGGAATTCTCAGACAAAGAACAAAAAAAACCAAGAGGTTCATTTTGGCTACCAAACTGGGATTTGGTTTTCTAGGTCATTGGTTTCCCCCCATCTATTTAAAAAGGAAGTTAGTGCTACAAATATGCAACTTCAAGACAACATATTCTTCTACTGAGTTGCACTGAGAAGCAAGTTAGATAAGCCCCTCCTCCTGCCGTCCACTGCAGGGAAGCCTCCTGTGTTTTCTTTGATTTCCGTTGGCAAAAACAGGAAACAAATCCAAGAGGGATGAAGTACTGTAAGCAATTGTTCTTTTCCACTGACTTCACCACTACACCATTTCCTCGCCTGCATCTTCTCCCATCCAGCTGGGGCAAGGCATAAAAGAACCGATGTACGTATTGAAGTATCACTGGGTGCAAGACAGTGTGAGCATGTGGCCCCTGTACAGAGGATTACACGGGATCAAGTTCTCTTCTCCTGTAAGGTAGCACGTTGTAACTTGAGTTCCACTTTCATCTCACAACACTTAGCCCAGATGACATCTATGCCAAGCTGACTGATATTTAGATGTGTCTCTTCATGTGGAGGGCAAGGTGATCCGACCTGGAAAAACACCTGCAACATAAAGCAATCGGGAAATGAAATAAATATAGGATTTCAGAAAACAGGGTTTCTGCTCCTTCCTTGTTAAGTACAAGAGAAAATATATATCCAAGTTTAGAGACATTCCTCGAGTTATCCATGGATCGCCACCAAACTGTGTGATTGACCTCTGTGACCACAGAGGGCCAACTATCTTGTCTCTTTGGCAGCTAAAGAGACTACTTTTCTCCATTCTCTGTTCCTATCCCTCCCTCTTCTTTCCTCGAGTCAAACATCAGGGAAGAGTGCTCATCTATGCACCTATATTATAAAATCAAGTATTTAGTGTGTGTGTTTGCATATAAAAAATTAAATAAACCAAATTAGTTTTATTCAAGTACTCAGCAACATCATTTTAAAAAACTCCAGCTTTCTCAAGTGCCCAGTACCTGCAACAAGCACCAAAGTATGATGCTAGTTTTGAAAGCTGAATTCTCGTTTCTAACTACAAATGGGAAGGAAAGCTGGTTCAGAGTTTGGAGGCTGACAATCCATCAGGCTACTTATCTCTCTCTTTCTCTCTACTGGGAATCTGGGTGCTAATATGTGGATGCTGATGAAAGCTATCTCCCTGAAGGATGTTGACAGAAGATAAAGTATTATGCTTATTTCGTAAGAGTGACAATTGAGAGACAGAGAAGGCAAGGAAATTGTAAATCACACAAGAAGAGTGGTAAACCCAGAAAAAGAAGAAGCCAGGACTTGAGCTTTCAACTTCTATTCTTTATCCACAAAGTCATTTTTTATAATCTCATAAGAAAACATAATGTTTTGACATTCTGAACATGTAGTTGGATCCTGATGAGATGGACTTAGAGCGGCAACTCTAGAGAGCTAGTTGAGTTTTGGGGCTGGTCTAAACATGCAGTTAATGGAGAATAAGGTAAAGCATGAATTTGAAATGAAGCATCTCTCCTTTATTAACTCCCTTGCTAAAGGCTTATGACTGCCTTCTTCTGAAGTTACTTAATCCACTTGTGAAGTGAGTTAAGAAACTCAGAATAAAACACACTTACTCCAGGAGAAGAGCAACCCCACAAAGAGTTAATCAGGAATTCGTATTCTAGAACAGCTACCTTTTTTTTAGTAGGCAAACTGCAGGGCACTCACAGCAGCAGGAACAGTAGCCCAATTTCAGGCACTTCACAGCACCAAGACGTCAGAGTGATCAGGGGAATAAGTTCTCAGGAGTTCAAAGGCTTTTCTTACTTGCCATTCAATATATGCCTTACTCTATCAAGACTGCCAGTAAGCAAAAGTTCTTTGTTGACTTTGTTCCCATTAGCTATGGGATTGAAAGCACCAACCCATTTCACACCCACCATCACAGTGTCATTTAAGATATGTATGGCATGAGAAAACAAACCGCGGGACAAGCAGGCAGTGGTTCTGGCTGTCTACCCCACAACCCAAAAATGGAGCCTGTCTGTCACAGTGGCAGGACTCAAGACACTTTCAGAAATTAAACTTCTTCTAGGTAATTCAAGTTGAGCACTAAAAACCAGGAGATTTCCAAGTTCCCTGCAAATCTTGGCTTGTCTCCTTTCCACCCTAAGCCACAAGACACTGCCTTATTTTTTTTAAAAAACATCTACTACAAATATCACATAAAACCCCACATGCCTATGGCTTTTGAATAAACTGGTTTTGTAGGCTCCAAGGGCACCATGAAAAGTTACTTCCAGAACAGACTTGCCTGACATGTCTTTTCACTGCTCCGCAGATTTAGAGTATAAAACACCCACCAATAATGGACAGAATAATATCCAAATGGCTTATTGTGAGCATCAGGATAGCTCATAGTCAGGCACTGAGTTATTTCAAAAAAAGCAGTAGTTGAGTATTTTGTATTTTTCAGGAAGAAGAAGGTAAAAAACAAACTGAACTACCCAGGAAAAAAAGCCAATACCAAAAGATAAAAAAAGAACACTCAGTCTAAAGGCAAATACCCAGAGGATAAACACCCTAAGAAAGCCTGAAAAAGAGGAGAACTATAAAAATGAAGATATTTCAAATAGTTAGGGGGTGTTTTCTGTTCTGCTGGAAGTATTCCCCTGCACATATTACCTATCTGCTTCTACAAGCAGAGATGAGTGATCAAGAAGTGCATTTCAAAGACAAAGAAACATTTCAATAAGGCAACTTTCACAAGAAAAGTCATATACTCATTTTCTATGAATGAGCATAGCTCTTCTCATGTCAGCTCTTCTCTACTTGCAGCTTACATTACCTTCAGAATGGCAAAAACTAAAGACTCCTAAAGAGGATGGAGGCTGCATTCCTCCAAGGTCCTACATGAACCTCAGCAAGACAGACGTGAATCTCACAATGGACTTTGGGCTTTCAACACAGCAGGCTCCATACAGCCAAAATGCACCCTTGGACCATCACCTCTCTCACCAGTCTAACTGAGAAAGCAGCGTGCTCTGGCTACAAGGGCTGCCAAAACAAAACAACAGCTTGAGCGGCTGCCAAAAAGGCATGCACCAGCTGGCACTTCAGTCTAGGACTAGTCATAAGACCACTACCCAAACAGCATGGCTTTTCCTCTCCAATTGCCTCTATTACAGATGCAACACCGGAAAGTGTACGCTGAGTCACACCCCAGCGAGAGCTGTTAAAAATACAGATTCAATACATTGTTTCACATCAGTAACCACCATATTAGCATCTAGTATATTTTTCAGTCCTATAATATTTTATAGCTAATAAAATGGTACCATAATTGCTAGTTTATAGCTAATAAAAGGTACAATTCTAACTTTTCACGTTCTTCCACTAATTTGGTTAGTTCTATCTCTTAGTAAGGCTGGTGGATGTGGACAATTATTTTCAACAGTAAAACAGTCCCTACAAAATTTTTGCAGCTAAATCATGCTGTCAAAAAGCCTATTGATTAGTGGGCACATTTTTTCTTTCCTTCTGGGACTAAAGGCAGCAGCAGAAGAGGTTCCACAGGATAAGCTGTCAAGGGAAACTCTTCTCTTCAAAAATTAAGAAACAGGAGCTTGCTGGTCTGTAGTCCTGCCCATGAGACAAGACCTTGCTCTGTACCTCTGGCTCTACAACATTTTCAGTTCCAGACCAGCTCTGCACATCGTATGTGGGGACATCACAGTCTTTTCCATCATCCATTCCTGAGTCCAGCTCCTCCTGGAAAGGACAGCTTACGCTAGAATTAGACATCCTAATTATAAAATTCATACAGTGATGTGTGACACATAAATTCCTTCCTTTCTCTTTCTGTTCTATCTCCTTAGCAACACAATACTGCTTGGCACTGAGGCCTCTGAAGGAGAAAGAGGAAAGGTAAGTACAATGAGAAGAGAATATATTGCTCAGCCATCTTTCTTACCAGCTGTGGATTTTCCACTGTGAGACGTGTTCATTCGAGTTAAGTGTGCTCTTAGCTTGCTGTCAACAAGGAAACCACATGCGCGTGTGCACGCACGAGCAGAGAGGAACATACACCCCAACAGTCTGGCACTAAGCTGCTATCTCCTAAACACATATTTATGCGGAAAAACTGAGTGTCACTACCCTGTCAAACTCTTCCCCTTGAAGTGCTGAGGGCTTGCACTGTGTGAGGAACAACCCTAGCTTGTGTTTCTGAAGAGCAAAATTCTTGGGGAATGCTAATGACCAGCATAACCCTGGTGTTTGGAAGGCACTAAGGACCTGTACACTGCTTTCCATATCACTTTAGTTGATTCTCCTTTATCCCCTGCTGCCACCAATCCACACAGCATTTGCAGCACATACGATATTAATCAAACCAGTGGTAGTTTGCCAGCTATAACTAACCATGTAATCTGTAGGTTGCATAGTGTTGTGTTAGGGCTGGAGCAGCAGGAGAAGAGAATCACGTCTTATCTCTTTTGTTATAAAATTGACCTGTACACAGAGGACATTCATCCCCCTTTGACATCAGCCAGAAGGTCAGACAGACAAGCACATCTGAAGACAGCCTTGGAAGGGAACTGCAGCCAGACTGTGTGAACAACATTCCCCTTTGCTATTTGAATCACCCCCTTCATGCTCTGATTGCCAAGATACAGCCTTCAAATCTGAACAACAACAGGCATAGGTTTTGTGCTACATCGTTGTTAAAAGAGCTCAAATAGGCTCCTTAAAATGTAACAAGCTGGCCACATCTACTGTCAATAATGGTGTGTGCAATAAAGGGTAGCAGTTCAAATACAGAGAAATTGTTCCCCAGCTGGAACCCTAGCTCAGGAAGAGGCACCTTTAACATTGAAAGTCTGCCTAAACAGCTAAGGACAGTTTTAGGCTCATGTTTCAGTGCTTGCTTGAGGTGACATCTGCAATAGGTGGTAGTAGAGAGATCTGGGAATGAGAAAAGAAGGAAAAATAGTAGTATGGCAGAGTGGAGCAAAAGAAGAACAGGCACTGCCACTCTACAAGCTTGCATCAACTAAGTGAGAGAGTAAGGACAAATCTGTCTCCTATCACCACACACGGATGGTATGGGCATGTAGTTTAACAGTGCACAATCCCCATGTAGTTTAACAGTGCACAATCCCCAGTACTCTTAACTTTATTAATAGTACTTTTCCTTCATCTACAGATTCAGCAGAAGAGCAGAAAATGCATTAGATGATTACAGGAATATATCTCTTGACTGCAGTGACTGAGTTTGCTGCCAAAGAGGAAAGCTAGATAGGAAGGGATAAATATGCGGAGGGAGAATAATGAACACTTAACAAAGGGCTGAAAGAGATCGAGGAGTTGAAAATACTGACTGTATTTCTTTAGCTTTCTGCTAAAACTATTGTTTGTCCTGACACAGAAACCCTGGGGCTTTGTGTGTACATGTGTGTGGGTATTTGTGGGGCCACGATGGTTTCTTCTTCAGAGGAATGAAAAGAGAAGGGTAATGCCTTACATCTAAAACAGAACATAACTGTTTTTCACAGAGGTGCTTAAACAAAAGCAGAACTGCAGAGGTCCCTACTTGGTTTATCCTGTCCCTCATTCTGAGCAAACAAAAGATAATCCAGGGATAAAACAAAAGATAATCCAAGAGGAAGCCCTCCGTGGGGGAAGGGGAACGGGAAGAGGGGAGACAAGGGCAGAAGAGCACTTAAGGAGATGAAGCTCTTGGAAAGGCAGGATGTGAAAATGATCAAATTTCCTTCCCATAAAAGGATGGGGTCTCTTGTTTATGTCCCACACATCCTCTCTCCACGCATATTCTCTGTTGGTCTGGTGTACCCAGAGGCTTCCTAGAGCCTTTATTGTATTACAAAACATTTCCTTATCACAGCCGAGAACCTTAGTGCTGCATTAAAAAGATGGGTAATTTTCTTAAGCCTCTTTTAAAAATATATATAAATAGGATTAGCTGGATAACATGTTCAGATGCAAGCACATTATTTGATTACTCAATAGTGGATCTAGGTTTCACCCAGGGCACTGCCAATCTTCAGCTGGGGGGTTGCGAGGGGGAGAAGTGCTCATTGTTCGATCCTGTCAGTGCTGTCAAAAGTCATTACAGGGCTAATTGCCTTTGCTCCACCCTGATTTCTTATCATTTGGGATTGGGGATGTGGAGGAGGGTGTCCTTTTGGTTTTGTTTCTAAATTCAAAGAACCCAGCTTTCAAAAGCACTCAGCACCAAGCAAGGATGACCAGATTTTTCAGACGAGCTCGGTGTTCATTGAAGTGGTAAAAAACTGTAAAAAGGAATTGGCAGTGAGTGGTCCTAACCGTGGCTCTCACTGGGAGCTGCTGGGTGCTCAGCTCACACCTCATTTCTGAGTGCCCAGAGGAGGACTGTTGCATGTCAGGCTCTTCAGGAACCTTGGCTCTGGGCACCTGTCAGGATTTTAAATCTGGGCCCACACAGAATGAAGGTGCAGAGTATTTCCCACTTCAAACAGATGTCAAGGGTGAGATTTAAAACTGTAAGAAAAGATTCACTAATTAGCAGGAATGCATAGAGATCACTGATATTACACAAAACAACCTTATGAACTTGAACTCTAAGATATGTCTAAATCACTCTTGTGCTTTTCAAAGTGGTGCCCTTTGTCATCTGTTATTGACTCTCCCCTGCTACATCCAGAGGGTTGAAACAGGTTGGACTCTGTGGTAAGAGAAGACAATGATCATACAATGAAATTAAGTGCTTTTTTCCTACAGGTTTCCTATAAATTTGGGGCACAAGAGCCACACACACTCTCCATCCCTCCTGCCATACACTCATGTTTTTGTGAGGCCCATCAGTTTTGCGAGGCTCACCCTGCCAAAATGTGGGCAGCCAGCAGTGGTGCTCAGGTTAGTTCTGGAAGCAGAGCAAATAGAGGGAGCTCTACCTTTGTGAGGGCACCAGGCTCACAGGACCAGGAGACAGAAAGCTTTGGAGATGCTTTGTAGAGAGGTCCATCACTGAAATAGTCTAAGGCCCTTTGGATGTCCTTTCTACTTTAAAGGTATTAATAAGAGCTGCTCTATGGACTGAATCCTGTGCCCACAACAGACACCAGCAGGGTTCAATCAGACCTACACCTAGTTCCACCCACATTTTTCTCTGTGCTGTGGGATGGAAACAGCTTAGACTGCTTAGGAAGTATTCCCCATCTGCCAGCCTGCCTGGCCACCGAGGCAGAGAAGACAGGGGAAAAGTGGAGGGCCTCTCCTTGGTTCAGGGATCGAGGCAGTGGGACAGGAGGACAGAAGGGGCCTCTCTCTGCTGGGAGACAGGTCTCTTGTCTTGGGGAGCTGGCAACTCCATACCAGTTACAAAACTCCCCGTTTCTTGAACACCGTATTAGGAAGCTGCATTACCTGTCACAATGGTTGCATTTAAAGGGCTTTGCACCCGTGTGCTTTCTGTAATGCCTTGTGAGCTCATCACTCCGTGCAAAACGCCACTCGCACCCTTCCCACGAGCACTTGTAAGGCTTCTCACCTGCAGAGGGGAGGAGAGAACAGTCAGTGTGGCAGCAGGATTACTGAATACTCAATTTGCAAGCCCTCTGTTATCCCACCTTGCCTCTGACCATCACACAATTCATGGCCAGTGTGGGATGGAAACAACTTAGGGCTGATGATGTATTGTACTGAGGATAGTTCCAGTCCAAATTTTATCACTGCTAAAATTCTCGCACAATCTTATTTCCCATTTCTAACAAAACCAGGCAATTACCCTTCAAAGAAACCCTGAGAATGTTCCCAAATGTCTACGCAGCTGTGTGGCTGAAGCTTGAGTCTCAAACAGCTTTTCAGTTTTCTCTATCCTTGCCAGATGAATTACTGTGGTACTTGAGTGACTGTATTAACATCTGAACATTCTGCAGATGTGCACCACTCCAGAGTGACAACCACTACTGCATCGCATGCTTTACCCTGAGTCTATTTACCCCTTGCATGTTCCCCCCAAGCATTCATGCCTGCTGCCCCCAAGGACTGCACCTTCTTTGGTCGCTTCTGACAACAAAAACTGTTCCTTGGTTCAAGAAATCATGTGTCAGGCAGCAACTGTGAGAGGATACATTTTTTCCTCTTTAAATCAGCTGGTCCTTCAGGCTTTTTGCACAACACCTTTATCAGATGTTTCTGCCTCAAAATATTAATGGTGCCACTGAAGGAAGTGGAACAGTGCAGTTGTAAGACAGGAGAGATTCTAGTCTGCTGGTAGGATTTGGACTCAATGATCCTTGTGGATCCCTACCAACTCAGGAACTCTATGATTCTGTGTTCACATCTACCTATCTTCTAATGCAAATCAGTCTCCACGAATCAAAGACTGCCATGGTGTAACATCTGTGGAGTCATAACACCTTCTGATGAAGAATTCCAAGGTCTCATGACTCCCTTTTTCTTATTCAGTGTACATGTATTGGTGTGCATTCAAATTTAATATATTCCCCCCCAGGACAAACGCTCCAGTCCATCTCCTCCTATATAAACTCCACGTCACTCTTCCCTATGCAATCAGGACCGTATGGATGCATTAGGAGAGAGCTGAGATAAAATGCAAACAAGAAATCACTTTCACTACCAAGCTTCTAAGATAGGAATTATAAACAGAGAAGGGATTATTACGTAATTTCTTAAAATTGCTAAGAAAGCGATCTTAAAAAACCCACCATGGACCACACTGAGGCTGCAGTCTGTATGACCCCCTAGGCCAGTCACACGAAACAATCACTTGACCACAGCAGACAGTGCAGAGACACAGATTTCTATATTTAGTGTGTCTATTCAGCAAGAAAAGGAGTGAGATTTGATTATGGGAGACCAATGTATTTCATGGTGACAAATTGGAGAGGCCAAAAGAGCAAGAAAAGTGACAAGGGCAAGAGAAGTGCATCAAAGTACATGAAAAAAAATGCCATTCTCACTCATGAGTGAGATTCTGTGGACTTCTTTTGCACAGGCAGCTCTGCTGCCCAGTGGTCATCCCCCCCCAGAGAGAACAGCAGAGTGGGCTGAGACCTTAATTGCAATTGAGCCATTTTACTGGCCTCTGACAAGCTTCTTTGGCTCAGTAGTTCAACTGGGGTGAAGCACTGAAGAGGGGGTAGCAGCTGGCAAGACTACACCAAAATATCCATTTGTCCCACAGTCCCTGAATGCAGAAAGGCCAGCCTGGATGTCTCTGTTGTGTGTCACAGTCCCCCATGGGAAAATGTCCAACAGGACAACGGACTGAGCCAACAATAACACTACCCCACTTAGAACGTGCCTGCCTGGTCATCTCTGCAGACTCGCTTCTTGTTCTTTTACTCTTTGAATAGGATTTCTTCAGGAAAATAAAAAGTGAGAAACTTCTTGTTAGTGAGCCAAGTGCTAGTGTCTTATTTCTGGGCTGGCTACTCAACTGTAACTGAAACACTGTCACCAGTGCTGGCCCCAAACACTAGAGCTGCAGTTGCAGTGCTGTCCTCATTAGCCCTTGACACACTACCTGGCATCCTGCATCTGCTCTCCTCAGAGAAGAGGGATTTCCCCAGCCCAGGTTCTTTGCCTGTGATGGTGCACCGGTTTTGTCTGAACAGTTCACGCATTATTTTTAAAAGCTGTCAGTAAATAAGCCTCAATGATAACTCAGCTTCCTTGGTTCTCTGACGCTCTCTAGTGCCTACATTAGAGTGGAGACAGCAAGGCAGACAAAGTGCCTTGCAGCACATTTGCTGCACATGCTGCAAAGCAAAAGCAGAAGATGACTGCTCAGCCAAATCTGGCAGGTACAGCGAGTCTGAAGGATACAGTCACCTACAGAGTAGAAAGGTGAAGGAAAAACATCCCGGGCTTTCTGTGAAATTATTACGCTATTGGGACCGAGGTGGAGTTTGGCTTGTTAACATTTGTCGGGAGCTTTGAAAATGTACAGTGCTATACATAGGTTACGAGAGACAGAAATGCCAGGCACGATTACTGGTAAACCCACAGGATGCCACACATCTCTGTTACTTGCTGCAGGGACTCCTCTCTCAAATGTTCTAGCTCTGGCCTTGCACAGCCCTGAGCTGAGTTTTGTTTTCAGATGCTTTTCCTCTGTAACCCAAGCCCTGTTCCGCAAAATGTCAGGCAGTACTTCTTTGTGCTCCCTACAGCCTGCTGGCATACTGTGCTCCAAGTGGCACAAGATAAATGCAAAGGAACACAGTGACCTTTAAAGACACGTCAGACAGCTCCTTGACCCAGAGACCTCAAAGAGGTTAGATTTCCTGCCCTCCTGCAGCTACTCAAAAGCACATAAGGGAAGGGAGAGACCTGCCTATCTCCGCATGTGAAGACTAAGAAAAAACCGCTCCTTTAATGGCTGCTTTCACCTTACGTGATGATGAAACAGAAGTGTATCTTGCCAAAGTGAACATATGTTGATGAGAATGAAGGAGGGTCCTCCTGCCTCACTATTGGCAATAGCAGGGAGAAAAAATGGGAAGGATCCTTTCCATGTGCTAGGCTGTTGTCGCAGAGCATTAGTGAGAATAAAAGAATAGATGATGAATTCCCTTCTGCTGAAGGCAATGGCAAAACTCCCACTCAATTCTACAGGACCAGCATCTCACCCTTTTTAAGAAATTAATTACGAACTTCAAAATCCACTGAAAAATAGCAATATCATAGAGCTGTGCCACACTGACTTTTTTCTAATTCCTCAAATTAATAACCACACTTAAAACTCATGCCTGCAAGCCACTCCCAGGAAGGAGGTTCTACTCCTTAGGTTACCTTTATTCAACACAAAGATCTGTGCAGTCCTTAAACAACTACATAAATCCGCATTTATATAAATGCATTCAATGGAGGAGGCAATGGTCATCCAAAAAGAAGCTGATACCCGGGTATGCAGCTGTTAAATACTCGGCTCTTTCAGTTCAGAACATGCTCCACACCATGGGGCCGGTTCAGATTTCACACATCCACAAATGCACCTGGGAAGGGCAGGCAGCCAGAATGCAGACATATGTTCAAGAAGTGAATTATGCAATTTTCCGAGATGAGCACTAGTGTTAAAACAATGAGCCATTTTCTTATGGAAAATCTAGGACTGACAGTGGCTATCAGCTTTCTCTAAGTTTTTCTCCTGGGAGGTGGAGATGCTACCTAGTGATTTCAAGCGTCCTGACCACATTCTAGTTTAATGTGCATCAGAGAGCAGCACAGCGCAGTGAAGGTGAGCTGCAGAGTGAAACAGTGGGTATGCAGGACCCAACACCCACATCATGTGCGTTTGAAAGGTGTTATTCCTGCCTAGCCACAGCCTGGTCCTGCGGTCTGTCCGTAGATGAAGCGTACCACGTGTGCATTTGCAGAGCACCTCCTGGGATACGCCATCCAAAACCACATCTATGCTTTGGCCACGTTGAACCAAAGCAATGAATGGGGGCAACCAAAGACTCATCTCAAAAGAGGTCACTTGATCATCAGGGAACACACACGTAAGACACATCCTGAGCTGCCTGATGAGGATCCCCGAGGAGCAGCCTGTGCACGCCTGCTAGAGCAGAGAGCAGTGTGCTGAAACCTACTGGTCTAGAAGGACCGTATCACCAAAAAAGCGAGTGGTACAGAAACACTATTAGCTCTTCAGATATACTGTAGGGTCTCAGTCCATCGTGACGGCATACTTCTGCAAAACAGACTCTCTTCATTGTGGCTGTGTCCTGTGGTCCATAGCATATTTAATCTTTTCATGTTCCTGGAGCACATTTTATGCCCTGAGACTGGGATGCTCCAGGAGTAGGCTCTCTATTCCATTTCTGTTTATGGCACCTCCCACAACCTAGTTCTTCTTCTAAAAGTACCCCTAAAGCACACTTCAGTACAGTCAGGCACTCCATCCAGGCAAAGACCTTTGAAAATTTATGGGAAACATGCAATAGTGAAGCTGGAATTATGAGTCATAACAAAAAATTCATCAGGCTTTGGCAGCCCTGAAATCAGGTCACTATTCCTTTTGTGACTAAGATAAATGCAAGACTAAATATTAGGCATCTAGTTACAAAAATATACAAATGATTGGTACAGCTTTCTCTTGAAAGCCAAAAATTTATCATTTTTAAGTATGAAAAAGCCAAGCACACAATCCCATTTACACTACTGTGGTAAACACATGCTAGGTTTTCAGCAAAATATGACTGATAGAGCTGGGCTGGTTCTGTGAACACCACACTTGTCCTTGGGACTTCTCCCTCCATTTTCCAGCCTCAGGCAGTCTTGGTAAGCTTCATCTCATACAACTTTATATATTGAAATTGCCATCTATGGTTCTTTTTCAAGTTAATGGAGAGGCAAAGGCATGTGTGGACTCTGACATATCAGTCAGACTGGGATGGGAGGTGAATTTCTCTCCTTTGATGGTGCAGAGGGCTAGGAAAGCAGCTCAGCTGCAGGCACCTGTTATCTTTGCTCTCCAGGCATAAACCAGCGAACATCAGGTTTTCTCTCCGACATATA